ACACTTAGTATTTCCACTTCCTCTCCTCTTATTTACTCCTTAGCTCTTTGCAGTGTGGCTTTCAACCTCATTACCCAGCTGAAAATGCTCATTGTTAAAACTGATAGTTTTTCCAGGGTCTAAATCCTCCTCCAACTATTTGCTGCATTTGATGCTATTGCCCACCTCTTTCTCCTGGATACTTTCTCCTCTCTAGGTTTTCATGACAATACACTCTCCTGTTTTATCTCCTGCCTGTCTGACTACTCCTCCTCAGTCTCCTTTGCTGACTTATCATCATTGGTACACTTCATTACCTTGGATATTCCCCAAAGTTCTATCTTGGGCCCTTTACTTCTCTCCCTCTGTACTGCTCTTGGTAACTTTTTCAGCTCCCATGGGTTTAACTACCATCTCTATCCGAATGACCATGATTATATATCCAGCTCCAGCTGACGGTGTTGAAGGAACCATTATCCTTCCAGCATCTCAGCATTATCCTGGATTCCTTATGTTTATCCCATATTTAGCTACTTGACAAATCTTGGCATTTTTACCTTCACAACATCTCTCTCATCCAACTCTTCACTCTAATCATACAACTGCCACCTAAATTCAGGTCCTCATTACCTTTTTCCTAGATTATTGCAACAGCTTCCTAATTGGTCTCCCTGTCACAAGTCTCATCATTTCAACAATGAGTCTGATGGGGAAAAATGTCAGTCTAAATTGTTCTTTATTCTTCATTGATTTTTTTCTGTTGATTGCTTTGTTTTCATTCAGTTCCATAATGCTAATAGCCTTCAAGCACAAACATAAGAGCTAAGGGAGTAATAACATGATGTGGGTGGTGCTCTCTTAAACAGAGGAGTCAATCTAACTTAGTGAAATACAGCGTTTCACTTCTTCTGGGAGAGTTTTCCAGCTCATGTTGAATGCAAACACCATAAAGAAGTTTCCAGAGTTCCTCCTGGCTAGTCCCATATTATTGTTAGTTTCAGATCTTTGCAGCAGTAGGGGAAGAAATGGGAACTGAAAAGAAACAAGACTGAAGTAGAAAAAGTGGAAAAATTAGGAAAACTATTACAGACACATCAGACTTTCCCTGCATCCCCCATTTCTTTTCTTTCGCACTGTTTCCCTTTGCTAATATAACACTCTTCTCTCCTAGTTCCCCTCCTTGTCTGACAGCTCTGTGGTTGTTCTCCAAGGCTAAATTCACACTACCTTGGTGAACTCATCCATTCCCAAAGGTTCATCTCAAACTGAACAAATTCTCTTTCCCAAAAAACACCCTGCTTCCAAACTTGCCTTTTCTTGTTGAGAGTAACACAATCCTTTTAGTAGTACAAATTTGTAATTTCAGAGCTACCTTTGACTTTTCTCCTCTCTCACTCCCAATAGCTAGTCAGTTAATAGGTCTTGGCCATTTTAAAATCACATCTCTCCCATTCCTCTTTCCCATACTCAGCCACTGCCCTAGTGTAGGTCTTCATCCTCTTCACCTGAACCACTGTAACAGCCTCCTCATTGGTCCCTGTACTCTTCTCTAATATAATGTCCACACAGTGGCCAAAGTCATCTTCATAAATCACAGAACTAACCACATCCCTCCCCTGCTCAAAAACCTTTAGGGGAACCTTATTGACTCAGATAATATGCAGTGTTCAGCCTAGCAACAGTTTAGTTTTATACTCACCTTTCCATCTTTATGAACCATTCTTCACATAATGTTGCAGCTAAGCTGCACTACTGCCTTTTCTCCCTCTATATATCCAGTTTCTCTCCACAAACTCTCACAACCCATTTTTCATGTATGGAATGGACCCCTGCCTAATCTTAGCCTTTCCAAGTCCATATTTTCCTTCAAAGCTCAGTTCAAGTCCCGCCTCTTGGGTGAAGCCTTCCTTGACCTCTCCAGCTGTTAGGGTTTTCGGCTTCCTCAAATTACGTTGTATTTCCTTATTTGTTTAGCAGTATATACCTCAATAAAACAATAAGGTCCTTGACAGGCAGAGACTATTTTAATTGTTTCTTTGTATTCTCGACATCTAGAGCAGTTATATGTATGTAATAAGTGCTTAACAAATGCTTATTGGGGGGCAGCTAGGTGGCACAGTGGATAGAGCTCTGGCCTTGGAGTCAGGAGGATCTGAGTTCAAATCCGGCCTCAGACACATAACACTTAGGAGCTGTGTGACCCTGGGCAAGTCACTTAACCCCATTGCCTAACCAAAAAAAAAAACCAAACCAAATGCTTATTGAATTAAATCTAAGTCTCTCCAAGGTCTATTACACCCTCCATACTGCTACCAAAATGATTTTCCTAAAGGACTGGTTTCACCATGTCACCACCAACCCCACATCTTCTCAATAAACTCAATGAACTCTATTCCCTTTAGGAGAAAATAGAAATCTGGCTTTTCCTACCTTGCCAGTTTTCCTACACATTACTCCCCTCCACTCACTCTGTGGTCTAGCTATACTGGTGTTATACTTGTCTACACTTGCTTATACTTGCTGTTCAGCACCCAACATGGCCATCTCCCATCTCCAAACCTTTGCATTGATTGTTCCCCATTTTCAGAATGCCCTTTCTCCTCATCACTCCCTTTTTGAATCCCTGATTCCCTTCAAGATTCAACTCAAATCCAACCACCATCTACATAAAACCTTTACTGATTCGCCACATAGCTAGCACTCTCCCTCTCAAAGCTACTTCATACTTACTTTGTATAGAACAGTAATGACCACTGCTGAGTCCAAAGAGAGTGGTCAGGCTCCTTTCTTCTCCTTTTCTCTGATTCTTTATATCCCTGCTGTGGCAGGTAAAAGACTGCCCTGTAATACCAAGGAAGATGACTTAGTTTGATGTTTGGCTTATAGCCAGAATCCCTCCAGAAGGGGGAGTAAAAAGGTATTCAGTGTACATGTGAATCAGATTTCTGACAGCTATTTATTTCCTCTGCACATAAAAATGCTTAACACAGGAGGTTCACAAGCGCACATTGCTAAAAGATTTGAATAAGCAGCAGCAGTAACAACTTAGAATTCCATTGTACTCTGTTGGGAAGTTAATACTTAAAATATCAACATATAAGGCACTTAGTTGAATTGCTAAAGCAGTATTTCATATTTTGCCGTAGCTCTGCATTGTCCACACATGCATCTATTTCTTCTGGCTAGCCTGGCCAGGGGTTGGATTCATTCTGTGGCCAGTGAGCATCTTCTCCAAGAAGTACTTCAGTTTGTCTGGGCTCCTTCCAAAGTGCCTGAGGACCCAGCATCTCCTGACCCTTTCAAGCTAACAAGTCGGCCTCTAGGGCTAGAAATGCCCATCTCAGGATTGCTACACACTTAACTGTATTCAGGAAAAAATAGAAGAGATGATAGATAGATGGATGGATGGGTAAATGGTTAGATAGATATATAGATTGATTTTAATATAATAGATGGTTTCCTGAGCTGCTGTGGTCAAAAAAATTGTTGCCTACTGTCCATTCTCTTTTGATGTAGTTCTCTACACATTTCCAAGCCAGTACTTGAAATCTTTCTGGCTTGATATCAGACCTGCTACCAGCACATCCAAGGACCCACAGCTGTCAGCATGCCATGATGAAGCACTAGAGTAGAATTTTGAATTATGTTAAAAATCATTTTTGTTCTCAGTATTCCTACTTCTTTGTCCATTTAACTTGATATACACATATGATATGTATATATGCATAAGTTGTGTGTGTTTATCTGTATGTGTACAGACAGTTCTCACTTGACTTAAGTAGAGCCAGAAAGCACCAAGCCAAGGGGCAGGAGTGGAGAGAAAGAGACATAGCATGAATGAGTACAGTAGTGTAAAGTTAACATAGTTTTGTTTTGTTTTGTTTTGTTTTAGAATGTGGATTTCTTTCGGAATTCTTTATGTAAAGTCAAATTTGCATAATACAAATAGATTTGCTATACACACATATAAAAGAGACTTCCACAGAATGATCTGGGTGTTTTGTTTTGTTTTTTGTTTGAGAATACTGTACTAGGATATTCTAATGGATTATTATCTCAGCAGTAAGAGTACTCCTCCCCAAGTGTACATTGAGATGTCTCCAAGGCTTCACCAGACACTACACCCTAGTCCAGCTCAAAGTCTACCTTCTGCAGTAGGCCTTTTCTGCCGCAAGCCCACCAGCTAATTCTTTCCCTTTTCAGATCAACCTTCCACCTCTCCTTCCCATTAGAGTATAAACTCCTTCAGGGCAAGAATTGCTTTGGGCCTTTTTTTGTATTTCCAGTGCCCTGCACTGTGCCTGACACACAGTAAGCCCTTAATAATGCTCCTTGATGGATAGACTTTTCATCCTGGCAAAGATATTCTCAAACACATCTTCCTATAAATACTTCACAAGTGGTCCAGCCAACATGCTAGGGATCTTCCCAGGGTCTCCATACCAGATAGGTACTAGCATAGGATGCGGACTATCATTTGTTTTTTGTTTGTTTTTTACTTTTTTGGGGGGGGGGCGGTTAGGCAATGGAGTGAAGTGATTTGCCCAGGGTCACACAGCTAGTAAGTGTCAAGTGTCTGAGGCCAGATTTGAACTCAGGTCCTCCTGACTCCAGGATCAGTGCTCTATCCGCTGTGCCACCTAGCTGCCCCCAGACTAACATTTGCTGTCATACCCTTTTTATATGTATTTCTCCTAGTGATGGGTCTCAGAGTTCTTTTTGTACTGTTCAGTGTACATCCCTTCATTGGTAATGACATGCTGTCGCCTATAAACACTCGCCCTGGGTCTCTATTGTCCTTTGGGCAACTTAGCACTTTTATTTTCAGAGATTGTGGATCTCATGATTCACAGCCACTTGGCACCGCCAGAACCAGACTGCTTTTATCAAAGTGGGTTCATGTTTCAGGGAGATGCCTAGAATCATTAAAAGTACTGTAGCACAGAAATTGTGAGTTTGTGAAATCCTTTTAGAGATTCCAGCGACTGATCTTTTGCCTAATCCCTTTCTTCCCCATCCAGGGCATTTTACAGCCATGATATGGAAGAGCACAAAGAAGATGGGGGTTGGAAAGGCCTCTGCAAATGATGGTTCTTCCTATGTGGTTGCCAGATACTTTCCAGCTGGAAATATTGTCAATCCCGGTTTCTTTGAAGAAAACGTCCCTCGTCCTGAAAAGAAATGATTTGGAAAATGCAAACATTAATTGTGGACTACAGAGTGTAACAGTGAAAAGCCTATGAACTCTAAAGCTTGATGCCTGTGTTTACCTGTCGCTTTGACAGCACACACTCTAATACACATTATGAGTGTGAATTGACTTAAGGCTTAAAATAAACATTTAATGATATGATACGGCTACTTGGACTATCATTATATGAACTTTGCATTAAAAAAAGTAATCATTTCTTGTAACTTTTTTTAAAAAGCAAATTGATTGTATATTTTCCTCCTATACTGTGTCCAGAACTTTGTTTTCTAAATTTCCATTGTTTTGAAAACAACTGAAGTGTTACATTTATCTTTGTGCATTATAGTTTGGTATTATTATGAATATTGAAAATCATAAAAACTTATGACTTATTCATTTTAACTGAAATCAGTTTTTGGTTTTAAAATTATAAAAACATTCCAACGTGAATTTATCATCTTTGTAAAAGTTGATATGATCCGTAAGCTAATCACCTTCTAGTGACACTTTAAAGATACAAAATCTATGACAAACTTCACTTCCTCTTACACCTCCTAATTTTTTAAAAAGAAAAATCTTGGTTACAGCCCAGTATGGACACTGGATTTGGGTGATTCCTGAGTTCATGGTGAAGACCTATCATATCAGCTTATATATTGGCTTCAATACTTTAATATTTCCAGGCTGCACACCACCTTCTCTGACACATATTGCAACCCATCTGTGACATAGTGGACAGTCTCCATAAGTTTCTCTACCTTCAAAATTTGTCACATGATGACTAACCTTTTACTTATAAGCCACTTCACATCTAGCTAGGCTGGCCTTGGATAGTAGGAATTCCGGCCACGTCCTTTACTCCAAACTTTTCTAGTTTGGGGAACCTTGCCTTCGGGAACCCAGAGTCACCTAAGTACCCATATATCAGAGTAAGACTTTGTGAATGATTAACATGTATACAGATATATGTATACGTAGCATAAAACTTTAAACGAGGTAAAAGAAGCATTCATTTTCCCTGTCCATGATTTCATATTTCCTTGAACTTGACTGTGACCTTACACAAGACTTTTCAGGACAGACTTAGATGAGTTCAGTGGGATTTGAAGGATTATAAACCGTCTCTTTGCTATGGACCCTGAAGTAAGCTATCTCAGAGCACGAAATGAGCAAAAGCAGTATTCCTGGCAGCTCTGTAGTATTACAGATGTGCTAATAGTGCCTCCCAGAATCATGTCAAATGCACACAACTTAAAGGTCTTAATACAAGTCACATGTCCTTGAGAAATTTTAGCATAAATAATCCTGTGTTCTTTAGTTTGGTTCAGTATTTATATTTGTGAAGCATTTGCCTTAAGGTTAAAATATATGTGCATTTACATGTTCAAACATTGTAGCTAATTAATTAAAAAGAGCATTCCCCAGAATGTATATTCTAGAAATTGATGTTGTCTATTATTTCAGTCGAAAAACCAGGTACAGGATTTGAGATTGATGTTTTACAAATTCCAACTTGGAGTAAATTTGAATAGAATGTTTTACGTTGTCAAAATTATCTGGTTTTTTTAACACTAATTTTTTATTCCTAATGTAATCCAGGGATTTAATGTTATGGAGAACATTAGAAAATAAACCATATTTTTCATATAATACATTATTCTGAAGTGATTTGCACCAGTTTCTTTATTGAGTGCTAATTAATTCAAGCCTCTTACGTGATTTCTAATAACTGGCAATTCCCCTCAGAATCTCAGTATCAGAGAAGTTTAGTGATATATAAAGTGACTGCTATAGTACTAACCAACCAAGATGGGTTCTGGTACTTAATTTTTACTGAATGAAATCAGATGGTTTCTGAAGATTTAAAATGAGCTATCAATAGAGGGAAGAATCCTCAATCCTACAGTCAGACTCAATTCAGAATAAGGATTATGATACTATGGGACTTCGCCAAGTTTGACCAACAACAGCACAATAATAAATAATATTTATATAATACTTCAAAGCTTACAAAGTATTTTTTCTCAGTAGGTACATAGTATGAGTAGTATTATCCGTATCTTATAGAAACAGAAGCCCAGAAAGATAAAGAAATTTGTCCATAGTCACACAGCTAGTAAGGTACAGAGACTGAATTCAAACCCAAGTGTTCTGGACTCTTAAGTCCTATGTTCTCTCCACTATAGCTAAATCTTAATCAAGGGTAGGATAAAAAATTTACATATACAAAGCTACTATTTACATATATACACCATTCTCAAAACTGAAATTTGAACACTTTTTCTACAAAAACTCAGTGAATTATCATTAGGGAAATATGCAATGAATAAAACCCACCTTCAAATGAGGATTCTATAGCCAGGAAACAGGTTTTTTAATATATATACATATATATGTATATATACATACATATATATAATAAAATCTCAATGGCCTAGGGGCCTCAACCAATCTTCTAGAATCCATGTTTAGAAGGAAGAAGCAAAGACAAAAAACCTCATCAGTTTTGTTAAAGACATTTTTAAAAAGTTATCACATGTGCCCCAGGCTTAATTAAGTCCTACATTTACAGTACCATGTGATGAGAAATTACATTCAGAAGAATTGTTTGCTGCAAAATTCTCAATAATCAACGTAAGATTCTATTTTAGACTGAGAAAGGCAAATATTGCACCTTTTGTTAGTTTCTTGTCATGATAGTTTGTTGAAAACCAAGGGATGACCAATACTTACCTAGCACCTCTTTAAATAAGGACAAATTGTGCAGTGTTCTAGAGAAGGGGTGGGGAACCTGTAGCTTTGAGGCCACATGTGGCCCAAGTGCAGCCCTTAGACTGAATCCAAACTAAAGTTCTGTGAAGTTTGGATTCAGTCAAAGGGCTACACTTGAGCACTTAGAGGGCCACGTGTAGCCTTGAGGCCCCAGGTTCCCCACCTCTGGTCTGGGTTATATGTGCAGCATTAGCTGGATCCATTCTAACAGAATGGAAATGTTTTACTCCGTGACACTATGTTTTTCTAGTTATTAATAATAATGGCTGACATTTATCTAGGACTCCTATTTCTACTACTTACATCCTCCTGGTTACTTTTCTTCCATCCTTCTTGAACTTATCTCTTCCCCACAATTAGATGTTCCCCAGGTCTACAACACCATAATAATTGAAAACATTTTAAATTTTACCTACCAACCCTACCCTCCCCAAAAAAACAACAGGTTGTAAAATCTTATGAAGAGGGACGATAGACGACTATGGATAATATCGTCTCATAAAATAGAAAGCAATGGAGGACAAAGCCACTTTAAAGAAACCTTGGCAAGATATACAACTGAAATTATCCTAGGGGCATTCAAGGATGAAAATGGAAGGAACATTTCAAACTGAAGAAAATGGAAGAGATTTGCAAAAGTCATCATAGCAAACTTTTCTCCATCAAGGGCACTTTGGGCCCTAATAGCAGTGTCCTGGATATGCTTACAAAGGAGGTAGAAATATCACTATTAATCAACAAGCATTTATTAAAGAGACATAGATGGGGGAAAAGCTGTTCTGGATCAAGTATATACATCTTCTGTTTTCCAAGTGCAAATCAAGAGGTGTATCACCACTTGGCTATCACATACTGTGTATGTTTCACGTCTGTTGGCCTCAGTTTCCTCATCTGTGAGATGAGGGTTGAAATAGATGACCCATAAGAACCCTTCCAGATCTAAATCTACATTCCAATGAACCCACAATCATATTGCATTTAAGGCTTACAACGGGCTTTTTCTCACAATCCTATCAGGTAGGTTAGTACAAGTATTTTTTGTGGTTGGGAATTATGATTTCACCAGTATCTGGGGATCTCCCAATGTGGAAACTACCTCTACTGACGCAGTGTCAATCTATCTGTAACTTAGAGTGCCAGAAAGTAACTTCCCGTCTTATTTAAGTTTTTATTTTGAACATCAAAAAAAAAAAAAAGCATTTCCATACACAGATCAGAACACAAAGAAGATTCTATATGAAACCAGAACTCCATTTCATACTGCTTGCTTTTTTAAAAGCATCTAATAAATTTTACATGTTACTTTATGAACTTCCTTCTGTTCTCTTTCGTATATTATCTAAAATGTTAACAATGAGGACCTTTGTTTCGACATCTCTATTGCTAATTCTCATCTCCCTGCCACCACCACCACGGAAGTTAACCAAATTAACTGAAGAGGGAGGAAAAAAAACCTTGTAACAAATAAATATAGTTAAGGGAAACAGGTCCATGTGGTAGGTGAAAGACGACATGACTGAGGAAACAGGTTTAAGCTTTCAAGCATTTTGATTTATTAAGCAATGTATGCTAATTGCCTAACAAATTGGGACCAGGCCCCTCTCTCAGTTTAGGGCTGGACCCCGAATACAGGGGAAGACAGATTTTTTTTTTTACTGTTTAAAAACAACCAAATAAGGCCAATGAATTAAATAATTAACTAGGATACAACATTAGGCAATCTGATTTCTAATGGGTAGAAAGATTAGGGACTTTCCAAGTTTAGAGGAGAAAAGTAAACAGGTACAATTCCCTGAAATAAGAAAAAGAGATGTCCTCCTTCCCCCAAGTGTCTTTATTCAATCAAAGGAACATGGAAACAATAACTGAATGATCCGTAAAGGACCAGTTTTCAGATAAAACTTATGGGTTGCTTGAGATATATAATTATCAGAAAACTTGCATCAATCTTTGGATCTGACTGGGTTTCTGGTCAGCATAACCCAGGTCCTTAGTTAAGGGTCTCTAAACAGAAGGTAGAGGTAATCCAGCTTCCTAGCCGTGCAGGGCTAGGTTCAAATGATGCAATAAGGTTTTCTCCCAATTCCCACAATTGAATAAAAGTTTTCTCACAAGACAGAAGTTGGAATAGACCCATAATTGAATAGAAAGGATACTGAGTTACTTTCAGATTTGAGTCACAAGATGGAGTCAGTGTAGATCACTCAGTTCCCACAATTAGCCACTTGCTATCCTAATCCCCTCAATTCCCTCATCCACAAAGTGGCCATGTCCAAAAATAAATGCCTCTTTACTTTCATTTCCATCACCTCTCTGTCAGGAGGTAGGCAACATGCTTCACCATAGTTCCTCTACAGATATAGTTGGTCATTACTTTGATAGTTCTTATGTCTTTCCAAATTGTTCTTGTATAAACTGCTCTTTTGTCTGCTCACTGTGAACTGTACCAGTTCACACCAGCTGGTTTTCTCTAAAGTAATCTCTTTTGTGATTTATTAAAGTGTAATAATATTGTATTGCATTCATAATACCATAATTTTCTCAGCCATTCCTTGATTGTCTAAAAAGCAATCTAAGGCATTATTCTACTTCTTTTCTCCAACCTTATCCCCGTTAATAACTCCCTTTAGGAACAAGAAGTGTGTTTTGTTTATGACATTCCTCCCTGGCTGTGCCGGCCGCACCGTGCACTCTCCTCCTATAAGGAGCAGGCTGCCAGAGTCATACTTACCAGTCTTCGGTCCCCAACCAGATAAACACAGAGACGAGCCTACCAGGAGGTGCCAACACCTGAGCTTTATTCAGAGGCCATCACAGCAAGGCCAGGCAGGAAGGCCATAGCAAGAGAGCAGGAGCAAAGAGAGCCCGTGATCCTGACCACAATCGTTCCTTAAGTACCTACTTAGCCCCTCCTCCTCAGCCTGCCTACTAGTCAATGATTGTAGGGTCAGATACCGGAAGGGGATGTCTGAGTTTAGCGCACCAAGGGAGAGGAAGTGACGCAGGAGGCTAGGACCGGATACAGGAAGGAGGCGTCTGGGATTAGTGCATAGACAAAGAGAGAGCATGTGACCTAGGAAGTCAGGCCCAGATACCGGGAGGAGGCGTCTGGGGTCAGTGCTACACAAAGGGAAGGTACGTGACCCAGGAAGTCAGGAAGGACACAGGAAGGAGGCGTCTGGGGTTGACGTTGCATTTAGGGAGGTGACTAAGCAAAGGGAACTCGTCCTTTGCTGTCCCACTCCCACATGGCACAGCCCCCTGCCTCAGGAGCACATGCTCCGGCTACTTCCTTGTATCCTGTTCCTTCCCCAGCTACATAGCACTGCCCACTGCCTCAGGAGCGTGAGCTCCGGTTACTTCTCCGTATCCAGCCCCCACAACTCCGCCTAGCACAGCCCCTGCCTCGGGAGCGTGAGCTCTAGTTACTTCCTAATACCCAGTTCCTACCCCATCTTGCCACAACTTCCAATTGGCAGTAGGCAACATCAGACAGTCCCTCACACCTGGTAGTATCCTTCCTTTAGCTTGTCCCAATCCCATTCCTGCTTGTTTCCCTGTTGAGTTTGATATATTCTACCCCAAAATTTTTGTTTGGGTCTGTGTGCATTCAACCCTCCTCCATATTTATATGTTTTCTCATATACCCCAATTATGAGAAATAGCAAGTTTTACCGCCTTCTTCCTCCTTTGATGTTTTCCTTTTGCCTTTCCCTCTCTTTCCCCTATTAAAACTCTCAGAACAGAACCATTCCCTTCTCAGGACCTCTGCTTTTCTTATTTAACTCCTTTATCACCCTTTAAAGATGAAAGAACACGTGTTTCTTCTCCATCTAATGGAATGTTGACACTATATCATTATACAGTTTTTCAACTGCTC